AGTATTCTAGTAATTCAAACAATTACAATGTAGATCGCTCTTGATGCCTCCATATTCTTCGCCAACTAAGAAAAGAATGAGCCTGTTTCTTTTTTTTTCTTTTTTGTTCTAATCGTCCTCGTAGTTCGTCACGTATCGATCGATATTCTTGCTTGTATTCTTTCAAGATTCTTCTTTTTTGCACTCAACGTGTCAGATCGCATTCTTTTTTTGTTTTGAAGTCCAGTCAAGAATCTTTACTATCGATTAATGAAACGATGAAAATACTGTCGAAAGTTGAATAACAAATACTTATCTTTTGTTTCTTATATCTATATAAATCGTTTGCGCAGGTTTCTTCGTTTATTTTTATAAAACACTTTGTATGGTTGACATTCTATACGAACAAAGTTAACTTTTAAATAAATAATTTTATTTTTTCTTAAAGTTTTGATGATTTGGATATGAATTTCTGATTTTAGTTTTTTTTTTTTCATACTTGTAATTCCAGTGAAAACTTCAACAATAAAATAGTGATGCGTACAAAATTATAATAGATTTATACTATAATTATGAGAATAGAATACAAGAATCTCATGACACATTATCTGATGAATTCAAAACACAATACACTTTGACGTATACACCATTTTGAATCGATAAATTTAAAAACAAATATTTGTTGTTTGTTTCTACCACATAATGTTTCTGATTTCGTGCTTTTATCAGGAAAATTTATGTTAAACCCAAACGATTTTTAGATTAATAACAAGAAGAAATGTTTTTCAAACGAAATACTGAACAAGGACAGGTCTATTGAAATTAGTCAATATTATTTTCATTATATTCTTTGATTTTGATGATCATTGTGAAATCAATATAAATACTCGTCATGTATATTCGTCTTATCGACTTCATAAATGTTTGACAAGTGGAATGCAAATTGAGATGTTTTGGTCCTTTTATTCGAGAAAAAAACAAAGCAAGAAGAAAAAAAATGACATAGTTAATCCAACGGAATCAACATGTGTTCTTGCATATAGATGTAATCAATTTGGGTAGGTAAGACAGTGTTTAATTGTTTTCATTTAAATATGCGATTACGATCAGTTTAAGTGAAAATCTTGTAACAAAAATTGATTTATGATGTTTTTTTTTCAATTGTTGTGAAAATTTTCGAAAAATCGAAAAGAAATATAATTATTTTTCAAAATTTAAACCTTTCTTGCCATTTGGTCCTTATGGAGATCATTTTATAAAAATTTCGTTCTCTTGAACTATGAGACATTTAGATAGAGATTTTATATCAACTTAAATTCTATCTATTATAAACTTAAAATAAACTATCTCAATCTAGTCTTTATCATAGAAATAACTTTTTTTTAATGCTCACTGAATACATAACGTGATGATACGTATTATAATTGATAAGAAAGGCTTGTTTGTTGGATTTGGTTCAAAATTTTCCTATGTAGATTAAAAATCACAAGATTAATATTATTGAGTGAATTACCCTTCTGAGAACCGTCAAGTTTAGCCAAAGACAAGAAAGAGTTTAATTTTAAACAAAAAGTTTGAGATTTTTACAAAAGATAGATTTGAAGGAAACGAATAATAAATGTTGGTAAACTTAGAAGATACATCTTGAGGTAAGACTTGAAACATAAACGAAATACCTTATGCAAAACATGATGAGTTTTAGATATTAAACCAAATTTACTTATGTATTATATATGCTTTTCCATTTTTTTTTCTCTTGTATATTACATAGAAAGTCTAAATATCTTCAATTACAAGAAGTATATTGTTTCATTTTGAGCAGATTAGTTTACATTATTTTTATTCCAGTTGATTATTTCGAGTATACTCACTCGGATGATATTTATGAGTTCCTTTAAATGTGACTATCATTCATGTAAGTGTTCAAGAGCTTGTCTATGAAAATAAAATCGTGTGATGTCATAATCAAAAGAAAAAAATGTTCGACTAGGGTAAATATTTTCATTTTAAAAATACTAAGAATACAAGAACTCAAAACAAAAAAAACTAAGCATATACTTCATCTTCCTTGAACGATTAAAAAGCAAACTGGAATAAAAACTTTTTTACTATTAAACATATCATTTCTGAAAAATATTTTTTTTGTTTTTTCAATACAAATTATTCTTTGGTATAGAAAAAATATTACTCAATCAATGAAAAAAATTGAACAGTACACCGAAAGAAAATTAAATCGACTTATGAGATGCAACTTTCATTTTCAAGTTTATTTTTAGTAAGTGAAAAGACTATATAATGACCAGTGAATGGAAGGCGAATACTCATAAGTCGAAACTTCTTTGAATGATGTTGCACTGGGAGAGGAAAGTACTTATAGTTGTCAAAGAGAAGAAGAAAAGACGATTGAATAGAACGAAATAGAAATATTACTAAAGATGAATGTAAAAGCAATGATGGGATGAAATATTAATAATCATTAAAATAGCTATAGGAAGTCTTATGACTTGATCTGGAGAAGATTCATATGATAGCATCAATCTCTTTTTTGTCGAAATTTTCACAAATTATTTGTTTTCTATTTATATTTAGCTTTCAACTTTGAATCTTTTACGATCCGATCAATCAACATTAACTATCGAACAATGGAATCTTCTTTCAAATCTATCTCATTTTTATGATGAACATAGTGGAGTAACATTAGATGAACGTTTCATGAATGAACAAATGAGTTTACCTCCTAAGTTATGTCTCAAAAGTGGAGCACTAATCAGATATTTCAATGATTCAATGGAAGGTACTCAATTATTATATAAAAACAATCAAGATTTTCTTTCATTATCTGCTAATAATCGTTCTGTATTACTTAACAATACAATAAAATATATAACAGATCTTTCAACAAATTTTATTTGTCATTTGATTGTATTATAAAGTCATCCTGCTTTTTATAATACTGTTGCACTTATTACTCATCCATCTGTAGAACCTACTGCTAAATGTTTAGCGAAAATAATTCAGTTTGATATAATTGTAATGAAATTACTTCTTGCTATTGTTTCTTTTTCAACTATAAATTATACCACTTATTCAAGTATACCTCCAATAAATGTATTAAATATCAAACAAGTTCTAGATATTCAAGATAAATATATTGAATTATTATGGAGATATTTATTATACAAATACAATTATGCACAAGTAGTTATATGTTGTTTTGAACTTATAGGATGTATATTTGCTGCCACCAAGTGCCTATACAGAACAGATTTTGTACAATTATTTAAAAAGATAATCAACGATCTTATTCTCCATACTGAACAAAGTCTTAATCTTAATGATTAAGTTTTCTTTTTTTCTTTTACATGAATTGTATCAGGATGACTTTTTTGTTAGACATTATATACTGAAAGAAAAAAAAGAATGTTAACTGAAAAACAAAGAAACTTAAAACATCTCAAGACTCTCTAATATGCGTGAGTGTGGAAAGACATAGCTGAATATCTTCGTTGTATGCTCATACAAGTCATACCGTTACATCCACATTCTCACATTTCGAACAAGTACATGACATGCATCATACGGAGATTACTGAACTTTACAACAAAATTAACTTCATCGATCCGTAACACAACAAATATTCGAAAATACTGAACTTCTGTGAGAAGTCATTTGCTATCCAAAATAAGCATCTATCAAATGCTCATCTTGATTTGAGTTGTTCCTACAACAATATTAACATCATTCATGATTGTCTCAGCTATGATGATCTTGTGATAGAGTATTTCAATCAATCACTTGACACCAGAGTGAAGGCATTCCTGCACAGCATGTAACGATTGCAATTACTTACGAGAAAATAGTTTATGTGTTACTCAATAAAGAAAATATGTTGAAATCAAACAAATTATCAACCATTCTTTAGTCAGTTACAGAAGTATATGAATGAACTGCAATGTTTTAATATCAATGATGTTTTAGCTGTATTTGACTAATAACTTTTGTTTTTCTCCATCCATTCAGACAGTTTTTGTATATGTTATTCCTCTTCAAACGTTAGTTTTTTGCTGACATGATAAAATTAAAATGAATTTTTGACTATAGAAAAGCAAGAGAAATAGTAGGTAATTAGGCTTTTTTGTACAGTGTTCGATGCTTCATGAAAATATATAATTGGTTTAAATTTGATATTATGTTCTCTCCTTCATCCGACGTTCACATTGTTTGTCAGACACTTTATATTGTTGTGTAGAGTGGCAGAAACTTGATTATAGCTCTGCTAGTGATAAAGCTAGTGATGCACAGACAAAACGGAAGTAGAGAAAGTTTTTTAAGTAACAAACTGATGAGAAAAAAAATTCTGCGCTATTATCTTCGTTTCCGAATAAAGATAACAAGACTCTCTGAATAAAGATCGTTACACTTACTTTTTAGAGTGATGATTTGAAAATTGGTTGCTTTGTAACTCATCAAAAAGTCAGTCCATTTGACTCAAATTTTTACAGTAGATGTAAAACAAAAGGTTCTATAAGTGATAAAAATTTCAACCTTTCATCTTCCTTTGAGAAGAAATTTACCTTATACTAAAAAAATGTAGAGTGTCAATTTTTCTGCAGATATTTTCAATTTAACTCATTGAAAAATTTTTTTTTCGAGTATAGTTCAAATCAATACAATATAGCAAGCAAATTCAAGTGTATTGGGATCTGTTTCTGACTTCCTATCCTTCATACAGAACTGGAAAATAACTCGAACTTTTCAATGAGTAAAGTCAATTTCATTATTGAATTAAACAGAAATTTAACTGTACAATGTATATTTCTCTTAATAATCATTAAAGTGTTGAAAAAATTTTGCACTTTAACACAGGCATAGAGTATAATAAAATGCACTACTCAACAGTTGTTTAGGTTCATTTTCATTTTTTTCGCATCGATTGTACCGAAAAGTTGTAATTCATTCCTGTACACAATTAAGTCTTATTCACTATCGCTTCATCAAATAACTGTATGAAATAAAATCTATATTTAGATTAAATTCTAAATAAATAATTATATCGACGAAGTATATTCAGTATTCTAAAAAAAAAAGGTTGTTGTTCTTCCTAGTTATTTGTTATAAGTTTGAGATTGACTGTATAAGGCCAAAAATTGCTGAATATGTTTTTTTTTGTTAAAATCAATAAAATTATGTTTTGAGGATACCGCATTTATTTAATTGATATATTTAATAACATAAATGAAAGATAAACCTGTTGTACGTTGCGTAATTCACTCACTGTTACCTTTGAATTATCCACTAGAAGAAGAATAAAATTGTATAAACACTTTTCATCACTGAGTGCAACGAGAACACGATGATGTACATCATCATTCGTCTTTCAAAATGCTTCTTACTTCAGCAGATCTATTTTTACAATATCATCGGTCTTATCTATTAGCAATATGAAAAGTTTTTAGACGCGCTCAATTTGTATGAGAAATCATTTGATATTCAAAATAAGTATCTGTCAGCAGCTCATCTTGATTTGAGTTATTCGTTCAACAATATTGATACTGTGCATGATTGTCACAGTCACTATAATCTTGTGATGAAGTATTCCACTCGGTCACTTGAAATCAGAGTGAAGTCACTGCTGCTCAACATGTAACGATTGCAATGATCTCTATAGACATAGGTCATGTGAATGAATAAAAGAGCGCACTGTGACAAACGGTAACTGTGTTGTACAAGACATTCTCAATAGATTGTCATTCACTTAATGATTTGTTAAGAAAAACGTGTAAAAATCAAGCGAGTTGTCAATTATGCTTTAGTCAGTTAAGCTGAGTATCGTCTGGTCTATGAAAAAGAGTACTACAGAGTTCAAAAAAAAAAACTAAGTAGATGATAATAAAAATCATCGAAAACTTTGTCAAAGAACGAGACGGTAAATACAAAAAAATGATGTCATTTATGAAAGGTCAGACCTTGACCTGTCTTCCAGTGCATTTATGTTCATGTTGATTTTTTTGACGAAAAGTGGCTTTTTTAAGGAGCTTTGAGGGCCAGGAGAATTCAGGAAAGAAGGTCAAAGGAAAATCTTCATCCGGCTGATTAATTTTCACACTATTGAAATGCTATAGAAAGAATGAAACCTTGATTACACTACTGTCATTGGAGTGTGCAAGAAAGTAACATCATGCAAATAAACATGTTCGGCGCAGTATAGAAAAGATAATTTCAATAGGTAGCAAGAGATAAATTTTGTTGATAGAAGTTTTAAAGCAAAATGAAGCATGCGACTTGTGTGTGGCTATCGACAGACGAAATAATCTCTAGACGATGCACATATAATGCTTCAAAAGATACATGATAAAACATTTTTTTTCTACGTAATAGTACTCACTTCGTTTTCAAGTAAGATAGTAAATATGAGTTGTTGAAATAGAGAGCGAACGATAATAAGGTTTCTTTTTCTCTTTATCTATAGCCTTGAAGTGAATTCGAAAAACAAGAACTCTTGAATAGTTATGACAGAGACGATGAAACGGAGCGAGAAAAAGAGTTTTTTTCATATCTAATTGTTGCTCATAAAAGCTCGTCATATTACCAAACAGGATCATTCGAATTGCTGACGAAACAGAAGAATATCAAAGCACACGCACGTGTCCACATACATATATATATAAGACGAAATATAAAATGGCAACGCTGATGCCATACACAAATAATGGTGATAACAATCTGGAAATATACAGTATCTTCTGTTTGGAAGCTTCTGTGAATAATGAAAAAAATCTGACGATTCAAAAACAATTACGAAGTATTATTAATCAACTACGAACATTTGTCGATCCGGAAGAGTTTACGACTCATGTTCGTTGCATTTCTCAAGATGATCTTACAATCTTAATTGTAAGTGGTCAATTGGGTCATATTATGAAGCCTGAAATACAAAAACTAGAACAATTATTATCAGTTTATGTATACTGCTTTAACAAAGAAGTGAATGAGCAATGGTGTCAGCCATTTAGCAAAGTACATACATAAATTTACTTTAATCTATTTCATACTTTGCTAGATCATTGTAGATTAAATCTGTTGGTAATAAACTTGATGAATTGATCAGTGTAATTAGGATGAGTCAAAAGTATCGAGTTCGAATTGAAGAACCGCTTGCATTGAATATTTTGAATCGATCTTTAACAGATTTGAATGGACAATTTCTACATTCTCAACTACTGATCGATATCCTGATCCAAATGAAGCCGAGCACACAAGACAAACGTGAATTGGTTGAATTATTCAGGAAGGAATACAAGAACAATGAATCCGCAATGAATCTGGTGAATGAATTCGATGTTAAATATAGACCTTCGAAAGCCATTTGGTGGTTAACGTGTGAGTCGTTTGTTTATCGTATGTTAAACAAGGCGCTACGTTCACAAAACTTGGACATTTTATTCCTTTTTCATACTGTTATTCAAGACATTTGTGAGCAGTTACGTGCACATCAATGTGACGAACGGATTCAAGTTTATCGAGGACAAATGATATCGAAAGAGGAAATGAAACAGTTGCTTGAATCAAAAGACAGTTTCATTTCAATGAATTCATTTCTATCGACAACAATGGATCGTCATATTGCATTAAGGTTTCTCGAGTACAATATTAGTTCTATCGAATCCGATAATCTGGTACCAGTACTATTCGAAATCGATGCTGATCCTCACGTATTTCGAAGCACAACCGACAACAACAGACCTTTCGCAAAAGTCGCCGAACTCAGTGATCACGAATATGAATCTGAAGTACTCTTTATGGTCGGTTCAATCTTTCGCTTGAATCAGATTAGTCATGAACACTCATCATCAAATGCGATGATGTTGATCATTCGAATGTCTCTGTGCAGTAATCATGACAACGATTTCAAACAACTCTATGATCACATGAAGAATGAATACGAAGCACAGGAAACGAATCTTCTCTCACTTGGTTATTTAGTATATCGATTGGGAAAATTTGATATGGCTGAAAAGTATTATCGTCGATTGCTAAGCGAACTTCCATCGGATGATCATTCTCTGAGTACATTACATCATAATCTCGGTATGGTTGCCAACATGCAAAGTGATTATAACACGAGTCTCGAATGGTATCAGAAATCACTCGAAATTCTTGTAAGAACTCGTTCATCCGATTATGTACGACTGGGTATCACACACAATAGCATTGGAAATGTTCATCGAAATAAAGGTGATCATCGTCGAGCACTCGAGTCATACAATCGAGCTGTGTCATTCTTCAAACGAGCACATGATGAGAATCATCCAATTCTGGCTTCGTTTTACAATAACATTGGGATCATCTATTACGAACAGAAGAAGTATGTGGAAGCGCTCGACTTTTATGAAAAGTCATTTGCTATTAGAAAAAAGCATCTACCAACAGATCATCCGGATTTTGGTGGATCGTACAGCAATATTGGTATTGTTCATGGATGTCTCGGTCATTTTGATCTTGCATTAGAGTATTACAATAGATCACTTGAAATTAGCTTGAAATCACTTCCTGCTCAACATCCAATCATTGCAATGACCTACAAAAACATGGGTCTTGTATATGAATACAAGGATGAATTGGAACAAGCATCGACATGGTTATGGAAGGCCATGACAATCTATCAAGCCACAGTGCCAGCTCATCATGTCAATTTGGTTCAGATAAATGAAGATATTCAAAGAGTCGAAAATAAATTAAAAAAGTCAGAAGGTCATATAAAAGTAAAGACAAAGAAGTAGTAGTGCTTTGTTTTATTTACTAAATTTTGTATCATTGTGTACTACGAAATCACATGTTCAGCATCATATGTTCGTTCAAATTTGTCTATCAAATGTTTGTTTTTTGACTTTGATTACCTTGATAATAAGCTTTTCATTTTGCTATGAGTATTCAATATTGATTTCAAATATGTTGATATGTACGATTATTAGCAACTATAAACTTTCGTCAGAGTTTTGTGTATGTTTTTCTAAGATCGAATACTTGATAATATCTTTTACTTCCAATATTTCGAATAGACTAATGATTCATTGAATAATTCTATTGTGTATAAAAAATATAATTGTGTTAGTTGATTTTAAAATCTGATTCTAAATGCATCCGATAAAGAATTCTTTTATTGACTACACCTTACCTGTTATCAAATCATCTGCTGATTCTCAATAACATCAAAGTTGGTTCAATTATTTTAACACCTTCAGGTGAGTCCAAAGTTGAGACTATCATTTGTAAGAAATTCTTCGATAAAAAATGTTGATCTTTCTTGTTAGATTTGATCATTTTTTCTTCAATTCTACGGAGAACAACTCGATAACAATTGTTTAATGTATCAAGAGCTTTATTTTCATAGAAATATCGATCGATTGAATAAATATTCAGAAAAAAAAACCTCAAAAGTGATAATTTAGATGATTTCATGGGCAACAAAAGTGTTAACCCTATCATAATAAACAATTTATCATTATTTCAATGGTTATATTATACTTGAAATGTATTGAATCATGATGAATTTTGGTCCAACGATTTCAAACAGACACACAAAATGAAAAAACTTGCAATTCAAAACAAATAATGCTTGACAAATAAATGATATTGCCAATCAATTAATCGTACAAGTTCAATTCATGATGAACGATTTCGTCTCATTGTTCAAGTTTTAAATGTTGACCTAAACTTTATTTGAACAAGAAAATTTCTCTTCTTGAGTCTCATATTCAATAATTTGTACATCGATTATGATTGAACAATGTTCATATTGATAACGTTGAATGATGAATTGAACAATTAGTTCATGTTAAGTAACTTAAATCAAAAATTTGAATAGAAACAAATTTATCTCTGTTGAAACTCTTCTGTTTTATTCGAATCAGAAGTAAATTTCTCGTTTTGAACAATTTCATTTTGCTTGTTTTATAGGTTCAAGCATTTCAACAATACAGAACGAATGATTATACTAATCAGGACAAAAATCGAGCAAATTATCTTTTTATATTTAGAAAAAAAAAAACTTTAGTTTTCTTTAATAAAAGCTCGTTATTTCATTCTTCTCTCTTATCAATAATTGCATCATCATAAACTATCGTGTCTACTTCTAATTTTATTTCTCCTAAAGGTGAATGTGAATATGAGTATAGACATTTTACGATGTGCCCGACATCCATCGTGTGATGTTGTCTATTGCACTGTATTTTTCTCTCATTGTACATTCTCTTTCTTATCATAGGGATTTTTTTTCCTTTCTTGTTCTCTCCTTCATGACATGTAAAGCCTTTTCTTTTCTGTTGTTCTCATTACGTGTGTTGAATTTTACCTATCTTGTTTACCATCATGATCATTTCTGTTGTGTCTATCCCAATATCTAGGGAGTAATTTCGCAATAAACGATATTCGATTAGACATTCATCTTATTCGATCAACAGATTTAATCACCTACATGATTCACATCCTTTCACAATATATTGATTTTCTTCAATCACAATTTTGTTTAAGTTAATCCAATCTAGAGATGGCTTGATAAGTAGAAAAGTTCATTTTTTTAAATCTCCTTTAGTTGAAATATAACACTATAGTTAATCAATAGAGCACAGTTGTCTGAATCATTTATGTCCTTTCAAATAAACGTTTATGTTAAACGAAATGATCATGGTAAATTTTCTTTACTTATTGATATTGAGTGTTGAAATGAGACGATTGAGATTGAAATCAATTGAAGTAAAGTTATTTTCAACTTGAAATTTTGACTTGATATTCCTACAAGGCTTCTGTCTTGTTTATTCTTTGTTAGCTAACAAGTGTTTCTTTTAATAAAAAATGCTTCATTTTCTATCCGTTTCCTTTAGACAGATGAAAATTTGTAATTTTCTCATGATTGTTCTACTCTAGAAACATATTCCTTATCATTTTATAGCGAAGTCAAGATTAGAATATAGGCTAAATTTTAAAAAGTAAGGATCTCGGTTTATTTTGATTCGAAGAAATAAATTTCTACATTGTAGATAAATAAATATTTGAATGAATAGAAGCATATCTATAAGTCATTGCACAATTTGCTTTCAATCATTGTATTACTAATTATAACATGCTTCAATATTCTTTCTAATCATAACAAAATTCTAAATTGATTAAAAATTTAAATATCACTATATGCTTCATTTTACTTAAGCGATTACAATGTTGATGTAATATTCGAATTTAACATGTTATATATATATATATTGGATTTTTTTAGTAATGGTCGATATTTTTTAGTCGAATGTTGTTTACATGTTTTCGTTGACTTCGAAATTTTAGTTTTCTCTTCTTAATTACATAATAAACTGTTAATTAGTGTCCATATTTCTTCTTGTCTATTAATAAATATTTGAATTTCATCTGTAAACAAATCATACAAATCGACTAGTATTGCATTTCGTATTTGATCAATTACAGATTCATATTGATGCAACTTTTTTAGAGTCTGTTCATATGCTAATGCTTCATTTTGTTTAATCTTCAATATTGAGTCATTCATTTCCCAATATGACAGCAGTAAATGAGTTCTTAGGTTGTCTTTAGTAACTATAGAACGATTTCGTTCATAAGTTTGTATGTCTTTCGTTAACTCAGCATATTTTCGTTTTAGTTTTGACTTCAATTCACATATTTCTAATGATATATTTTCTTGTATGATACGTTGTACAGTATTATTATTCAATATATTGTCTAAGATTGATTTATATATTAATTCATCATAATCATCGAATTCATGGCTATGAGTTTCTAGTAATATTTGTTCTAATACTAAACTTAATAAATGTTTATATATATTTTCTAATATTTTTTGACGAGAAATTTCAAGATATTTATCCATATTATATGACTTGTTACGACAATCACAAAAAAAAGAAGATTCTTTTTTCGATTTGATGAATAGCATAAATCCGTAGCAAGAACAATTCCTAAAGGTCAAGTCCAGACGACGTTTGATACATAAATAATCGAAATCCCAAAAATGAAATATACAATCATTATTGAATGTATTTAAATTCCAGAGTAAATTATTTGTTGTGATCGATGTTTTTCGTATTTCTTTTTCTATTCTTTGTTCAAGTCGATATAGACACTTCAATAGTGATGGACAAAATATAGAAAAACAGTTCTCAGCAATTGTTTGTACATGATAACGAATATGTGTTTCAAATAGTTCGTGAGCACTAAGAATAAACATGATGAACCAATAGATTTGATCGATTACTTTACGATTTCTAAAATCATATTTTTCTTTTGCTATAGCTATAGCAAATCGAACAGTCATATCTTGAATGTCAGATGGTCTATAAATAAATTGATATGTACCTAATTTATTACCAAAATCAGCTGTCCAAAAGAAACTTGAATTAACTTCTTCGAGAGTTGGATCTTTTTCGAATTCAATGGCAAGAAAATCTAACAGAGCAATGATAGCCAAAATATTATAATTTTTAGGTAAATGAATAAATATTTCTCGTACAGTTTGAAATGAAATTGAATCAAGAACATAAAGAAAATGTTCGTAATCAATCTGAGAATCCAGTAAATAATATTCTTCATTGACTTTGATTGAATCAAAATTAATTCCAGCAGATACTAATGCAGTTAAATAGGGAATTTTTTCTATTTGATATTCATTCAATGTTAAACATTGACCGGAACTAAAACGAAATAGTTTAGTTGTTGAAGATGACTCACTAATATGATTGTTCATTGGATAAATATTTTCAAAGTTCGAAAATAATAGTTGATAATTGTTTTAATCGTAAATGAATATTTCACGTTGATGAAGCGAATTCCAAAGAAATAAATACAGTGTCAATTGTATTTTAATTGCAAAGTACAATGTAATATGATTGTACTCAAATGAATGTAAGAAAATAAGAAACTTGTTTTCACTTCGATTTAAGTGCGCAATAAATGGTTGACAATGTTTCGTTCTTTTCTTTTGAGATAGAAATGGGAAGATTCCCAATCAAATTAGCTTGTTTGTAGTTTTCAATTTTTTTCGTTCTGTTTACCTTAATGTTAGCTCGTTTCGTCGAGCGATCGATATATCTATTTATTCGAAAGAAAAAACATCATATATGTATATAAAAATGTCCTTGAAGTGCATAACATCACAGAGAAAGAAGAGAAAACGAAAGCATCGAGGAATATGGTGAACAGGTATCACCGTTAACACTTAATTTTAAACTTACGTTATTTTAAATTATCATTTAGTCGGCAACAAAAGTCTTGCCCGTCTTAAAATGAATTTTTATATTGTTTTTGACGTATGAGAATAGAATACAAGACATTCATATATAGAGAAGTTCGAGACATTTACGGAGGACATAGTAGTTTTATAAGTGTTTGCTTCTTCTTTGAGCAAAGTAAAAAATATGTGAATACATCCATTTTTGGATGATCTATTGAGAGATGAGATGGCTAGTATGAAGTGAGTTCGAGTTTTTAACTTTTGATCATTCAGAGAGAAGATCTTTAGCTATGCTATGTCAATGGACAATACCAAGAACACTGAGCACGAAATTTCGACTTGTAATTCATTCACTGGAAATCCGTCAGCTCAATATTTCGGTCTCATCTCTGAACAAGTCATCAAAAAATGGATGTATTCATATATTTTTACTTTTCTCAAAGAAGAAGAAAACATTGATAAAACTACTATGTACTGCGTAAATGTCTCGAACTTCTATATATATATATATGTGTGTTGCATTCTGTTCTCATACGTCAAAAATAATTAAACAAATTTTTTTCAAGACGGGCAAGACTTTTGTCGTCGACTAATTATTCAAAGTTATATATAAACAAAATATGGCGTCGTACAACAGTGTACTAGTTAATCGAAACGAAATGACTCGTGTAATTAGATGGATGTTATTTCACGATTTCTATTTTAGTTTTTTGATATTAACATGAAAATTGAATCACCTTTATATTATAGAAAATTTACCTTGACGCGTGATGGGTGTGAATAGAAAAGTTAGAAAACATTGTCGTTCAGTATCATTTTATGAATCATGAGGAGATAGATTTACAAGATAGCAATCTTTTTTTTCTCAGCAACTGTCCATTTTGTTATTTTTTGTTCATAAAAATTGAATGATCGTTTTCTAGTCGATGACACATTCATGATGCTAAAAAAATAAAAAGTTTGTAAATAACACCTGTACTGAAGTTTAAAACTAAATAAAAATACCTCGATAAAATAATGCATATTTTCTTGTAAATTCCCTGGTTTCACAGTACACAAACCGTATTAAACACGCACGAAAATATTGAATACTCTATAAAGAATCAACTGCTCATAATTTTTTACATTAAAATTTTGCTGTTATTACATGAATATTTCTTTCAACAGTGCTGTATTTGAATTCATTGTCGCATGAGTTCAGCTCTAAAGAAGTATTCTAAAGGGTTGAAAACTGAATTGTTTACGTATGTATGTTCACAATAAGTACGACAGGAAAGACGTGGGTGGGTGTGGGTGTGGATCTTCTTTCTCCGCATCTACACCCACACCCTTCGCGACAAGGATTCAATATTTATATTTTTTTGTCTTATTCATTCAATAAATGACTTTCAATGAATAGTTAAATTAATTGTTGTTTTTCAAATATATTTGTAATTCAGTATTTATTAAAGTGATTTATTTGATCAGTAGCATTTCATGTGTTTTCTTGTTTCTTCGGCAACACAATGAATTAGAATTAAAGCGAAACGGAGGATGATTCGTTTATTGACACACACAATCTTCATACATCTAAACTCTTGTCCCCTCTAAAAAAATCTTTGATCTTCAAGTAAAATTTGTGAAGTTTTTTGAAACTTTTCCTAAAGAGAATACAGACTTGCTTGGAAGCAACTTTATTAACATGTTTTCGAAAATAGCAGGGTGGTTTTTCTATTATAAGAAACACTTTGTTTCTTTCGAAACCTTGTTGGATGATTATTCCTATAATAATCAATCTTATCGTTGAATATTAGCGAGTTCTCTAGTAGCATGCCATTAAAATACAATAACGTACCATAAGCAATGATTGGATTCAGTTGGAAAATGAAGATCATTCTCAAAAAATGTATCACACATTTAATCTGTGAGTATGCATCTTCTCTTCATGCAACAATCCACACTCACATTCTATTCCCTTGCTAGAACTGCAATATTCTTCTCTTATCACGATGTATGAAATGGTCGAATAGAACTCACTGGAATACATATATGATATTTATGTACTAATTAGAGTGACGAAGTCTTTATTGACTAATGTAGCTTATGAAGCTGATCTACTTCGAATAATTTAAAGAACACAGCTCTCAATCTTTTCCAAAGTTGCAGCTCGAATTCTTATATCTAGATGAACAAAATCATGGTAAAAACAGGAAAGATCAAGTTCAGCTGTAATCTTTTTGTTGAACAATCTTTAGTGTTCATTGATATTATGCTAACTTTATATATCAATAATTTTATAAGTATATTGACATAATATCTCATGAAACACAATTTTTAATGAATTTTGAAATATATTGCAAGAAAGTTAAGCCCAGCTATTTCCTCACCTAGAGACTAGGACAGATAGGATCAAGATCCTTGTGTACAGTTAGAGTGACTCTGTCATGCTGTACATTTTAATCCCATCGAATAGTAGCGTAACCAACCGAGAGTCTAGCTTCTCTAGAACGTTCCTCTGACTACGCTATTGTCATTGAAATTACATTGAAAGTTTTTTTTCTAATGTGTCGTTGGCAAACAAAATACAAAACTTTATATTATTATTGTTGTTCTGCAATGGCAGAAATCAATTCCATTAATGCACTTACGAGTTGTGTTTGTCACATGTTATTTCAATACGACAACATCAGCATTTGCATCTATTCGTGACACAAACATAGCTGCTCTGTCATGCTTACACAGTGATGAACAGTATTCAAAATTCATATGGGTTCTGGAAATAGCCATTCAGTCGTTCGCTTTGAAGGTAATTGATGTAGTGCTATACATGCCTTGTTTTTTACTTTTAAATTGAAGCAATGACTTATTTTGGAGAAACAGTTTGTTGTGCATTCCAAGAAATATTTTTGTTTTTTACTCTGATATCTTTCAATTGTGTAGTAGAGCCCTGACAGAAACAACAATACACTACTGCTCGATTGTTTTTCTTTACAATCTGAACACCTAAATAAGAGTCAATTTTAGTATGAACTAGCCTTCTTTCAGTTTTCATTCAAAGTAGAAGGTCACGACGTTTATCAATAGTTCTCCACCAAAACTTCATTTTCGATGGATTATTCACTTCCAAAAACAATAAAGTTTTCAAGAAACTTTTTTTGAATTTCAATAGGAGTTTCTGTTGATAATAATGAAAACTAGTTTTTTTTTGTCGCAGATAAGTGACATGAGAGTAGAAATTCTCTCTCGTCTATTGTTCAAAATACGAAAAGTCATTTTAGAATAAATCTCATCTTCTATAACAACTTCGAAAATTTTATTGTACAAATTTTATTCGTCTAAAAGTGATTAGCTGTCTATTGTAGAACATTAGTTTGGTTAATAAGTTCATGTTAGAAGCTCGAATAATGTATCCCTGACACTGAATATCGTAATTCAACATGAGCATGACATGAAGTTGATTAAAAACTATAAAATTCAGTCGAATGAATTTTTAAGAAGTGCAACTCGAATGAGTAGTATTGAAAAATAAAAAATATACGAACCGCAAGTTCATCGTCCACACGGAAGGTCTGCAATGTAGCAACTACAATGACTTGAAGAAATGAAAAATAAACTCATCTTAGTATCAATATTTGAAGATTGGATTCTGAAACTGAGATATTTCAAAAACAAGACTAGCAAATACAAAAGACCTAGAAAAAAAGCGAGAGAACAATCAGTATTTCGTTTCACGAGTAAATTGAAAAAAAGCTTGATGCTACGTTCTCTCTACATTTTTCGGATCCATTTCAATCGTATGATGGATATGTTATTGACAATAGAAGATGTTAATCAAGGCATTGATTTTCTTCAAATAAATATCGGACTTCAAGATATATCTAGTTCAGTGGTTCTCTATTCAGATAGTATGTGAGGCTTTAATTAATACAAAGAGAATTCAATTATCTAAGTAGTAGAATTCTTTAGTAATGAGAAAAATTTGTCTAAAGAATAAATACTTTAGACTATCTTAATCTTCATAGCTGAAGTACTATTGACATAGTCAATCTTACGTTTAGAAGAAAATTATGAGTTCTTTTTAGACACCGACTCGACTTCTTCTCCTCAAAAATTTTATCGACGACCAGCACTCAGAAACCTTCAACGATATGTTCTAATCTGGTTCACTAGTGAAAATTCAACACCAGAGTTTGTTCAAAGACAAAACGTCTTACGATCTATGATAAATTCTTTACTGATTTTTGATAACTTAGTTGAAGCCGAACAGAATATCAAAGAGAAGAAAAATCAAAAAATATTTGTTATTGCCGATGGTGACTTCGGTTTACCATTAGTGTTATTTATTCATCATCGATATCAAATAGCAGCTATTTATGTTTATTCTAGTGATGTACAACGGCATCGCCTACTGCTACAACCAATACCAAAAGTTAGTTTTTCTTTTTCATTTCAACTTTCTTCGTTGGATTAATACTGTTTATGAGAAATTCCAATGAATGACAGCAAAGTACTTTTTTGTTGAAAAATGGCCGTTAGAGTAGATTTTTAAATTCGTATTTCGATAGATAAACACTATACTGAGAGCAAATTCTTACCGATTTTCTGGAAGAAATCATGCAAAGTCTTATGTTACTTTAACTCTTTGTCTTACAAGTTATGAGAATGCAGCACACATAAAAAAGAAGTGTCAGAAACCTGCTTTGCACTGATGCAAAATTGTATGAGTAAAAGACACTCTGCTATGAAAGTGCTCGAAACCAAATCGAAGATCTCCTCTGTCTTTGTAGCGTATAATAATGTGAAATTTGCTAGGTCGAAAAATTGATCGATCCTAGTAATTATTGTTGGGTATTATGATAATTCACTTTTGGCTTTTAATCCACAAAAAATTGAAGACTCTAGCTTCTTCTTGTCCGAAGTTACGAACGTTTTCCCCAAACCATCGATTTTAACCAACTGGTTCTGGATCTCTTGAAAACAGTTTATAAAAAAGATAATTGATCATGGAGACGAGGGATAACATTTTTTTTGCTCCCAAGCAATCCAAACCCAGTATTGAACGAATTTCTTAATTTTAGTATTTCATTCAAACAATCACTTCATCTTGAGCAACTACGCTTTTCTCGAGCTGTGTTCCTGTGATCCAGGATTAATTGGTTTAAGTCAAAGATCCCTTGGGAAATGTTTGTAACTTCTATATAAACTAAAGCTGGAGTCATCAGTTTTTTGTAGACCAAAAGAAAATAATTTCTTCCATAAGATAATTGTATTAAAATCAAAAGCTAGTGAGAAATGCTTTCACAATATTATTTTTCAAAATGTTGAACCAGAACTAACTTGATCGATCAATTGTTGAATCGATCACACTTTACGTCATTCTATGCACTTCAATTCCATCTGTTGAACAGTGAAAAACCACAGGCCTATATCTTGTTTCTATCGAAAGTTACTGGCAATTACAGACTCATCAGTGACGTTTAAAACACTTTTTTTAAATATTTATCTTTGCTACAATCAAAGAAAAATAGAACAATGTTGAAAAACTTATCTTCGAGATTTGAAGAAAAAGTCTTGAGTTAAACGATGAAATTCATCAGTTGAACTAAACAATCTGAGTGAGTTTAGAAGATTTTTCCTACAAGGATTATTCTCGAACGAGTTTTTTCACAGATAACTTCAAATTGTATCATAATGCTTGAAAATTTTAGGTCAAATATGTAACCAATGATTTCGATTCTCTCATAAAACACTTTAAAAAGGATTTATATGCGTATGAAAAGTTAGCTAATATCAACTTTATCACAAAACTAGGCTATTCACCCGATCTATCTCATCTTGATCACTATTATCTTGTTCGTTACTGGCCAAATTTTTATCATACAGATTTGACAAATGAAGAAAGAACGCTTCTATTAGAAACATATACAAACTACTACAAAGACAATAAAAGCATGATGAATATATTAGACGAATTCAAACAAACGATTGGACCAGATACTGCCATCAAATGGTATACATGTGAACATATCATCTATCGTCTATTTAACACAGCCTGTCAGACACATAATTTTGATTTTCTTATCAAATTACAATATTTGATTCGTTGTATTCATATACAGCTACAGCATGAACACTCATTATTTATCCGACATTGGTCACACAAGCCTGTTTTTTCTATTTATTGTGGTCGACTAATGACTACTATTGAATTTAAACGTCTCAAGATGTATGTAGGTAAAGTTATACTTATGACGAATTTTCTTATGGGAAATTTGGATAAAAACAAAGCTATTCAGTATATTAATCGATGTGAACCTTCTGAAAACGAAATTCGAGTACTCTTCAAAATAAATATTGATACGCGCATTACAAAAACACAACCATATGCAGATATTACACATTTGAGTGATTATCATAATGAACATGAAATATTAATTATGTTTGGAGCAAGTTTTCATGTAATGGACATTATCATGAATCCACACGACGCATTACCTATCTATCTACTTGAACTTTGTGCAGAAAAATTAGAACCAATACCACTAAATGAACGAGAACAAAGATGGTATTCATATATTGAAAGTTTGAATTAATTGGATAAAGAAAGATGAACAAAATTCAAATTGGTACAAACACCTATTTAGAATTCTAAACACTGTAGACGAAAAATATGACTGATCGGTCTTTTCTCTCATCATCTGACACAATATCATCAGTTTGCAAGTCGAATTCAATAGATCTTGAACATATGAAACATCATGTAGAGTTCAATTCGACATTTTTATATTAGTTCTTAGCCGTATTCGAGATTTTCGCATTGTTAACCAATAATTAGAAGAACCATTGTAGAACTATATAGTAGAATTTTGATTGAAAAATAAATTCAAATAAACATATAATGCATAGTAATATGTTAAAAGTATAAATATCAAAAGAAAACATTGACTGAATCATCTCGTTTGATGAACGGGTATAGATCATCTTCTCATCATCTATGATCATATCCGCATCCTTAAAGTCAGAACAATGCCAGCATTACACTCACACTCATTGCAAACACATACAACAAGGATGGTTTGATCGATGCATTTGATCATGTTAAGTATAGTCATCAACATATAATCGCCGAATAATGCTCAACAATTCATGATGTCAGTGTGACTTTGTTTTTACACATCCACATCTGCACTCATCTATAGTGTTTAATATTTCAATATCATTAATAGAATGCATTATGATTAACTTTTCATCTTTGTTGAAATCGTTTCTAATAAAATAAGTCTCGAGATCATTGCTAATATTGACAAATCTAATTTAACTATTATTCAATTATTGATATTTTTTCAAATATTAATCATTGAGTTAATTCATTTAGAACGAGTAACATATATACATAATACAATTCGAATGTACTCATAAATGAATATGAATATCATTGCATGATACTTATTTGTTCTGATTGAAAAACACTATTCATGGGCTATTGGTATTCCTCGTTTTTTTTCTTCTTTCGTCAGGATCACTCTTACGTCCTTTATTTCGAAACTAGTCCACTACTATTTCATAATGAAAGAGAAATTCGAATTGCGTACGAAATCTAAAACAACAAAACTCTCTATGAAAACATTATGCAAATATCTAGCTAATCTGTAGAAAGAAAGAACATGATTGAGTGTACATGAGTGAATCCACAGAGAGAAGTATCACATCAGTGTTGGGTAAAAGAGACAAAGAATAATATTTAAACAGGTTTTACATGTGTGAAAAACGGAAGATGTGATATCAATGATATAGAAGGATGAATTATGAATGACTTTAAAGATTATGATATTCCTTTTTCTTTTTTGGCTCTTAATCAAACATATTAGAGATCGTTTTTCATTTAAGATTTCAAAGATTTATTCTTAAAAATAGTATACGATTTTTTTTCTAGTTTTCTGAGATTTTCGAAAAGTTTTCATGCCCACAAAACTAACTTCATCCTGTAGAGATTAATCTATTCTAAATCATATACATGAACAAACAAATAAAAAAAGTCTGTTAATTGTTTTTAGTATTTTTATGAAATAAAATTCTCAACATAGCGATTTTGCTTAGTTCAGTTGAAAGACAATAAAAAACGATTGTGATAATCAAATAATTATTTTCAGAATGTCAATCAATATCCTAAGGATGATGTTGTCCAGTATTTCAGTTTTATTTTACAATTTTCTCAGCTGATCTATCTATCCAAACCTATGAATTTAGATATATTTTCTATCAAAATATCAAATTAAGGTTACAATTTTTGACGGGTGACATTCGAAGAAAACTGAAAAGATATTAGAATACAAAAAAACCCTTGTTCATGTGGCTTTTCAGCAATATTCTATCAAATCTGTCACAATTGTTGTTTATTATTAGAACTGATGAATTATACTTATGTATGGTCCTTGAAGCATAAATTTGCAAGAAACTCTTAAATAAGCATGAGAATTGCGCATGTATATGCGAATCAAATTGTAGAAAAAATCGAAAAATAAAACCGCATTTGTAAGAAATATACATGGTCCGTTTTTCGATAGAATGCGGATGCATGTGAGAGAGGCAAAGAGAATAATGACATCTACAGTCACATTCTGCACTCATAGTCAACCAGATATTCTATTTCGACTGTTTTACTATGGGTAGTCAATTTCATCGATAGAAGAGCTCCATGCTTGCACTGCCCAATAGCTTTGTTAAACACAGAAATCATTGCGCTAGTGGTGTAGTGGTATCACGTAGTATTAACGAGACTGAGATCCCGCACGTTTTTTTTTCATGACAGAACAACATATATTGCAGCACACACTTGGATGAGTATGAAATTCTGGATTGATAGAGAACCATAAGTGAAACAGAGAAAAAGATGCGTGTTTTATACGTGGACTGTTGTCGTTTGAGTCGTCTTAGAACATGAAACTGCTAGGATCACAGCACTTTACGTATGCACTTTATGTGTACGAGATAAGAATGAAAAAAAGACCAAGAAATGTATAAGCCCAGCAATAACCACTGGCGTAGTGAGTCGCAGGAAACTGATTTAGTATTATGTTGCCACACGCCTCAAGCAAACACGTACATTTCTTCGAAGTTGAATAATTACAAGATAAGGCTCTAAAAAAAACAAGTTACGTCTACTATATGACTGTATTTTTATTGCTGATGACAATAAGAAGAGTTTAGTTAAAAATATAGTTGAATTCTCCCGCCACGTGCATCATAAATATTCACGTAAGAAAAAAGAAGACATGTAGTGTTGATGTCAGAATGTGGGTGTGAAAGAAAATAAGATCCACGCTGATGCCTAGATCCCATACTCATACTATCACCTATAAAGAAACTAAAACAGCTTGTGTTCCTAGAAAATCTAAGCGCATCATATACTCATGTTGTTAGACTCAAAAAACGCTCCGATTTGATCGATGGACTCTTAATTGGTGTTCTTCTCGGTTTCACTGGACTTATTGCACATTAGAATACGAAGAAAAGAGAATACAAGGCACAACTGTGTGAAGCTACTTTCGAAGCTACTAAGGCTGCGATCAGAGTGGCACCGAAAACGGTTAACAACGCTGAAGTAAGAAAAGTGACGACAACGAGTAGCAAAGATGCATTGTTGGAATTTTGTTTGCCACTAGACTCTAACCTACAGCATTTAGTTAAAGCACAAACTCTTGTTGATGAAGAGCAGCAGGTAGAATAATTATTCACAAGATTGTCGATTCCCTTATTGGAGTAGTTATGCTAATAGCCGTTACTGGCGGCGTTTAGTATTTTCCTAATGTAAAAAAAGACGAGAGGCAAAGGACAAAATAGCTGAGATTAGAGAAGAGTGTTAGTAGTAAATTCAGTGTTGAAGACGTTTAGAAGAAGAAGCCAACCGATGAGACTGATTATTCACTTTTTAAAATATCTTTTAGAGTTTTCACATGAATGTCTTTTTTTTCCTAAATAAAACTCGTTGGGACACTTCAGAGTGATGACTATCGTTAACACCGAAACAAAGGTTAACTAAGTAGACATGGTTCTATTCGATCATTCTCGATAGTAGTGTACAATTTTTCTTCGAGAAACAAATACTGGAGAGAGTTGAAGTACGAGACTGTTTTTATGATAAACTCGGCTCTGCATTCTCAAAGGTTTGCACTGAAGTTTCTAAAAGTCAGCCTTATTTGCACAAAAATAGAAAAAACTGTTTTTTTCCGACGAAAGAACACTTTGAAAAACTTTCTGTCTCCCAAAAAAAATTATAAGAGAATTCAATTTATTTCTATCTATCCCTTGTCTCTTAAAAATAAAGTCTTCAACTCGAAAAACACAAAGTCAAGTTTTTTTCTAAAAATTGAAGATCTGGAGAGAAGTTGATCTCAATTGTCGAGAGAAGAGTTGATTTATAATAATTACGAAAACTCTTTTTAAATGTTCGAACAAAAAAATGTTTTTTCGGGTTTCAATTGGCAAGAGCTGACTTATCTAATTGTAAAAAAGCATGGAAAATCTGTTTTCTTCTCTGAAAAATATGCAAAACACTGTTTTCGACTCGTCTTTTTCTAAATTCTTCGCTTCGCAATATTACAAGATCTGTTTTCTTTGCTTCTTGTATGTTTAATATAGTGACATTTTTATTCTCTCCCTTATTATTGATCTTATTATTTATTGGTTTTGTACCCTCGTAAAGTTTTGGCAACGATATTGCCTTCGTCGGACTGCATTTATTTTTATATTTATATTTTTAAACATATTAATACATACACACAAAATAATGGATTTTCTTTAATTTTCTTTTTCTTTTCATATAGGTTTAAAACATCGGATGATGGGGCGGCAAGACGATAGTAGTGGAGAGAAGTTATGGACTATTCGTCTTTTTCCTCCGCCCCACTATCACCGTCTTCCTTCGCGATGGCAAGTACTGTTTTAGCTATATTTTTTTAAAATTTCATATTGATTGTTCTCTTCATTGCTTGCGTCACTGTGTGTAATAGAAGGAGTCATACTCGACCAAGTTCCTCATAGTGATTAAACTCATTATAAAGGGTTGAGTTGAGTGATTCTTTTATTTGTCTTTTCATTCCATATAAAAATACGAACTCTTTTTACTAAGTAAATATACGAAATAGATAGAAATGAAAAGATCACATCTGCCAAATGCAGTTAAGTATAAAGGGTATGACTCGTGAAAAAGTTTCACAGAAAAAATCAATTTATTTGAAATATTGCAATTACAACACTATCATAAATCCTAAAATAGGTAACATCTTCAGAGTTGAAGATCTCGATCCCCTTAACACAAGAAAAATTCACGAATATACAAAAAAAGAAAGAAGTATCATCAAATTTCTACAGGATATCAAGCTTCTGTCAAAAGCATCGATAACAACCGATGAGTGTCGCAACAAATGCAACATTTGGAAACTAGAGAAGCGGTCGATTGCTATAGAGGTTTCTCTCTCTAAAAATTGATGCCCATTGTGTTAAGATTAGACGATGTTTCTCATTGCGCTAAACGCCGAACAAGACGATCTACTCGGAACAGAACATTCTTTCAGCAGTCCCATGTGTCATTCGC